CAACAGTCGTTCTTGCTCCTTCCTTAGAACAAACTATCCCAACGCCGTTTCGTACAACAACACTGACCTGACAGTGACTAGGAACAGGCGGATTTTCCTAGGAAGAGAAACTCTTTTCTCAGCATGAATAATGGATAGGTTTCCAAAACCACACGAAGCTAGGGCGATCCTCCAATTTAACTGTGGCTAGATAGTGTCATAACTGAAAACGATGGAGCCGAGATACTTAAACTGGTCAACCTCCTGATGGGGTTCACTTCCTTGTTCCACTTGTAGCTCAACTGTGCCAGATAGATTCTCATAACTTCTGACTTCCGGCATTAAGGAAAATTCCGGATTACGAAGCTTTGTTGCATTCGGAAACCGCCAGGTGACAGAGCCCGCTTCCCGTACTACTTAACTGGGCAATATTACGTGCGTACTCCAGGTTAGTACGATATTTTGAAATGCGCTTCATCTCTACAATGATACCTTCGTCTTTATCCTGGTCAGCACTGTTTCGAAGAAAAGAGTCGAGAACAATGTTGAATGGCAAAGGCGAAAGCGCATTTTTCTGACGAACTCCACAATTAATGGGGAACCACTCAGAATGCTCTAGTTTGACTTTGACAGCAAAAACCTTTTGTCACAAACATCTGTTGCAAAACCGAAAAAACGCAGTGACTATGCAGCATTAAAGCTGAGGAAACTGGAAATCCAAGGGAACTGGAATCATCAGCATTGCTCAGTGATCAAACACAGAGTGAAAATTTGGTCGAGGCAGACACATCGTATCCAGAAGCGTGCTAGAAATGAACAAAGCTTGCAATCAATTGCCTGACAGACATTCCAGGATGATCCAACAAACTATTTACCGGGAGTTGAAAGTAGTTTGATAGCACGATAATTGGAAGGTTCTCCGACCCCACTTAAACATAGGAATAATCACTCCACAATGTTTGTAGGTATGATTTGATCACATCACATTTGATGAAACAGGGCACAGAACTTTTCTACCCTTCCCCTTTCTCCATACTCAATTAACTTCGGAGAAAATCGATCTACCCAACAGGTCTTCTTCATCTTGACGGGTAGCGAGATTTTTCAGGATTTCGAATTTTGTGAGTGGATCTGTACTAAGATCTACTCTAGCGTCTGCAGAGAATTTAAGGTAGGACGAGTCAAGACGGAAACCGTTGAGCAGCTGCTGGAAACGCTCAGCCCATTTTGTGATGAGTTTTATCTGCCAGTGGGACACCCGTTGCGCCTTAGATAAGGAGAGACTCAGTATTCTGTTATCGGACAAATGCCGCACTCCTTTAAAAGACGTTCGCCACTCACCCTCTCTGGTTGCCTTGCCGATATTTGTGATTTCAACCTCCAGCCAAAATTTCCAGTCCGGCCTGTAACTTTGACTGGCTGCACGAACGAGCCGATGCGCTGCTTTCGTGGGTCCAGTATGGTGGTGCAAGTGCTCCTTTTTTGGCTCTAAAGGCTAGGGTCTTCGCCGTGACTGAGAACAGTTTTCTTACCCTATTACCAACCCGACATGCGCTTTTAGCCCAGGGAATTACTCTTTCATTGAAGTCTTTCTAAACATCATCGACGTTGCCCGTAAACTAAAGTTGGCACCAAAATGACTGTTAACCTCGTTCTGGCAGGCCAACCGCACTGCTTCATCATATTTTAGCTTTTCACTATCAAACAACTGATGCGTTTCACGAAGAATACGTCGACACAATACGGCTAGCTTTAGGCGAAGTTCCGCTACAACCATATGTGATGAGCGCAATGAAGGTGCTACACCTAATGCGAGCCTCGGGTAACGAGCTGTGCCATTTGTGGCTAATAAGGACGTTTTAGTATTTGGAGGACGTCCAGATAGTTTGCTAAATGTGCTAATGAGGAAAAAGTGTCTAGCCAACGATTAAGTTTGTTGCGCAAATGCTAATAGATGCCTGCTGTTTTTACTCACATTGTCAATATTGTAACGGCTGAGAACGCTGAGCAATATGCCGAGTACGCCTCGGCCTTGACGCTGCGGTAGCCTGCAACAACTGTAACGTTGTGACGCGACAAAGCGTTAACAGCCACCTGCATGCAGTCACAGAAAGTGTCTTTGTCGCTGCCACTCAACAAATTTGCAAGGACAAAGGCGACAATGATATTCAGCGTCGCCTGTTTGATATTCACGCGACTATAGGATCTTTTCTGACACCTATTCCACTGAAATGACGCCCGGCTGACCTGAAGGGACAAGGGAATACATACACCTGTACGGCGCAATCTACTACAAGCCAGATCATCAAAATGGCCACCCATCATGCAAGTCAAGCATCACCTTCGCTGTGAGGCAAGCTTCGTGATCGCCAGTACATGGAGTATGCACCGACAGGCCGTACGACAGACATAATCTGATTAACTAACTTACTTACCTTCGCCAGAAAATGAAGGAACGTTCAAATACAACATGAAGCCTACTTCTTGCAGCACTGAGTGCTGGAATCAAGCACTTCTTGGTTCTAAGTTGTTTGACAAGTTGTAAGTAGGAACCACTCGCAGCGCAGCTCATTTCCGCGAGGGCAATAATTTCGCCGCTGCTCACGAATAGATCAACCTGACAATATGATGTAGTTTCGCATAGGTTTACCCTGCACAGTGATAATGGTAAAAGGTTGCTGAACATATCAGATCTATTTTTAAGGACCTAACTGAAGAAATATTGCGTGACGCTATGCTCATAACCGCTATATCACTTAAAAAAACTGCCACAGATGATGTCTGGATCCTTTTTATCATCATCACCTTTTGCTGCTACGTATAAGAACTGCAGATTGTTTATAATACGTGACGTCTGCTTATATAATCATTTTGTGATATTCTGCACTTGTAATATTAGAAAACAAACTGTTCCATAGCTCTGCATCCGTTCGGTTGCATAAAGATTGGGAAGACATCGGCAACAGGTCACAATGTTGGCACTGTTCGAATGAACAACCGAAAAATCACTCTTAAAAACACTCCAAAATAGAGAAGATTGGAGTAGCGTCTACTTGCGTTAGTGGCAGCCTCACAACGAGGACAAGTCGAATGAAGTCAGATACTTATCGCGGAAAGATTTCTCATCGACAAGAGATAAAAGTTCAGCTTTTTAGTTACTTACTGTGTTAAGCACTTTCGTCGTCCACATCAGCATCCATGAATATCCGTGTCAGTAGCTGACAAGCACCTAAAGGCTGGTTTCTCTTTGTATATGGTGAAACCATACAAATCTTCTGTGAGCACTTCCGATACACCGTGACTTTGCAAACGTGATAAAAATGATCGTTTCTGATAAAGTGTATCACTTTGCATTCATGATGCAGCATAACTAACGCTATTGGCTGCTGCCAGCAGGACGTTGATGTGTTAAAGTACAACTTCCAACCCTCTCAGCAAATCGGCCTGACTGCAAAAAGATAACAGTGGATTTTCCTGGAGATTGCAAGCAGGGGTCTATGAATGTCATCTCATTCACGCTGTAAAGAATCCAGTGCAAAATTTGATGGAATGCATTCGTTGCAGTCGTTGCTATAGTACTGGCTGCTTTTACAGTAAATTTATGACTTAGAAAACAGCAGAAGTCTTTCTGAGTTTACGACAATCAATCTCGGAGAAAGACATTCAAATTCAAAAGGCAGAAGGAAGGTTTGCATGACAGGATGAAATACGGCAAGATACACTTTCCTTATAGCTATGGGCGTCTTGAAGATCTACCATCAACTTTGAAATGCTCAGCTAACCAAGCGATGGTATACTGGAAATGAAAAAAGTCCCAGGGTACAAAGGGGTAAAATTTTTCAAACATGCATCGATCCTCAAACAGAGCATGGCATCGGTTACAAGTATAAACAGCAGGAACATATTACGTATCAAATGGCAAACACTGAAAATCGATACCTTTAAGGTATAATTAGTTCTGTGCAGCCAGACTAGGAGTAAAGCGGCAAAAACATCGCCGGTTCCAAAAAACTTCTCCTTGAAACGTGAAACTTCAAACCGAAATATCTCTTGTTCGTTACCTTCACGCAATCGTCAAACAAAACTCAGTGATTTTACAAGTTACCAATCATTTCCCCACCGTAACCATATAAAACGTCTTCTGAATGCGCTAAGTTTGTGCTAGTAATCACAACCATTTTAGGACCAAGTCTGTGCAGAGCCGACAGCACCGAAATGACGTCCTCTTCCGTCTTGATCTTCATACAGGCAAGAGCCCTAAATTACAGATGAATTGCTTATTCGCACATTGTTTAATCGAATACAAACATCGATTTTCTGTGCAACGGAGTCAAAAATCATCCGTTATAAAAGCGTCAGTTTCACACAAATTTTGAGAATCTATAAGATAATATGATTATCGCGACTGTGGAGGGTTCCGCCTGAATTCAAGAAGAACAATAAGTTACTGGCTGCCATTAAATCCATATACTACCACCCAGAAGCATGTGTCCGGCATTATGGCAGCGAAATCGATAATTTGCTTAACGGAATGTGATTGGCCCATTCTCGTTTTCATAATTTTTACGGTAAAGATCTAGATAGGCAGCTCGGACACGGAGAACGCGACTGATGTGAATGTTCACCTGCGTGATCCTGCTTGCATATGATTTCATCATATTTGCTTCCTTTCAGGATGACCTCCAATGTGCACTTGACATGTAAGCTTTTCTTGTGAGGAAGCCAGAATGAAGACCAGCCTGATTAAAACCGTGACTTCTGTACTTTCAAAAGACCCTGGTCCGTGTGCCTTGATGACTAACCGGAGTGCAACTTACGTAAGTGAAGGAACCTGTGAAATTTTGACAGCATCTGAGTGACAGCAAACAAAATGTAGAAGCAAACAAACGAATTCGCCGAGAGACAGAATAACCTCTGGATCGTACACAGCGAAACTGCCTGTTTTCATGTCTTTCTACGCGCATACACACAGCTGTTGTCACGAACGCTGGACATCGCTCAAAAATGCGATCGAATATAGAAGTGGCGAAAATAAGTTTCGTCGAAGGCTCGACCAGGTTCAGCAGTTATGGTCACAATTGATTGCGAGCTACCTCTTTCAAAAATTAAGAGATTACAGCTGAGATAGTCAGCGCATGCGGTAATGATATTACAAGGAGAGAATCGAGGCACAAGCAAACTAGGCTAAGCTATATGGCAAGCGGAGAATGACTCAGAGAAAGATGGCTCAAATATACTGAACATCTAGCACAGCCGCGCTGTGAGTGCTATTCAAGCGAACTTGTTACAAGATCGAAGGAGTGAACCATTTGAGTGATTTTCTTAAGTTACACTCTAATGGCGGAACGAACAGCAGATTCCTAAAATGTACGGAAAGCAACAAAAAACTACACTACTACATCTTGGCCAGAAAAATTACAAACATATGAAATATGAAAATACTCGGCTTCAAACTGGTTCGGAGTGATCACGTCAGCCAGCGATATGATGTTTCTGTAAACAGGAAGCAGCGAATCGGCAACGTACTACAAGTAAAAAACAGTTGGACTTCATCATCAAACACGATGCTTACAAAATGGCCATCATCGCCCATGACCGGGTCACATACTACAAAATACGCATTACCCAGATACAAAATCTCATTAAAAAAATAATCACGTACTGTAATACATGTTGGAGTTTTCTGAATGAAGCTCGTGAATTTCATCGGCAAGTTTCGACAAGAAAGACTCGTCTGCTACGTATCCTAAAATGCGAAAAAGGAAAATGAAGATACCTAAATATAATAAATCCAATTTCGAGGTAATATCGTGAGAAACGTTGTAGGATAGCACTTGGAAGGACGTGCTTTATGGTTATGTCAGTTATATATTTAACATGTCACAATTTCTTTACGGAGAAAAGGTTATGTTTTTTGGGATGTTATAACTGGTTGAACAATGCATATATTTATTTTCTTGAATAAATGTCTGGATTTACGCACTGGAGAAAAGAAAACTTTTTAGCCGTTGGTACGTCAGCAGCCTCAACACTTTTATTAATTGGGCGATTTTGTCGCACCCTACTTTCCATGGAGATTAAGGTGCAGTGCCGATTTCCGTTTCCTTGCTATCAACCAAGAGTGCTTACACTGTTTTCTTCTAACGCTATATCTATTGCGCGATGACCACTATAGCGTGTAATCGAAAGTTTCTTTCTAACGAAGTGCTGCCAATTTATCTACCACGGAAGGAACAATGGCAAATGATCTGAACAGAGCTCGACTTTGGGACCTCTCAGTTCTAATTTCGACGTTCTATCGACGACTCCTACCTACGCATTGAGTTCAGGATCCTTAAGAATAAAATCTTTTCAAGATGCCGTTTACCCGCCAAAGAAACGAAAAATGAGAGAAAAAACTATTAACGCAATTTATGCGAATTCAATTGGCAGGATTGGATGCCACCTTTCACATTAATTCCCAAAAATAGCACGATAGATGAAAAAGAAAGCTTCAACATACATTCATCTAATGGTAGGTTTCCCACACCACCAGATGATTTCTACGCCGCAGAGGTGCGGCTGGAAGGTGGCATTCACTTAATCTCAAACTCTGTCGGCATCAAAACATCGCGATACAAAGTGTTACAGCTTCTGGAATTCAATCTACTGCCGTTCGGAATGACTATCGCAAAGTACTAAGTTCCATAGACTGGAAACGTAATTCGCAACTGCTAATAATCACACCGTCGTAAACCCTAGAACAGAAAGTATCTCAATAGGAAAAAGAGCATTAAATGGAAAAAATATCAGCGAAAAGTGCACCGTGAAACTGCAGCCATGAAGGAAGGGATGTATCTGCTAAAATCTCAACATTCTGATATCCTCCATCATAGAAGACTGGAAAATGGACCAACAAGCATGACTTAAATGGAGGAAGATGAGCTACATGCGTGGTTAACAAAAGCCTCCCAAATTAACAAAAAAAGATCGATAGAACAATAACAGGATCAGTACCGCTGCACTTAAAATAGAAACGACAGCTTAACTTCATAGAAATGCGAATGCTAAGTAGGCATGTAATGTGAACAAGAAGGTTTGCGTTAGGAACACTATCGTAAGCGATATAGTGACAGGCGTAGCTCCAATAATGCAGTTGATCGAAAATATGATCTGTATGCTTTGTAGGTTCGACTATATGACAAGAAAGCGTGACAACTAAGCTGGAAATACGATATAAACAATATAAACACTGGTAATAATATGGAAAGAAAAAGGAAACAACAACTGTACGGATCTGCGTAGAAAGTTAAGAACTGGTCAACGATAAGAAACCGTGGAAGAAACTGACTCCCGTCATGGGAGGAGGAGGGAAGAGTAAGAAATAACAAGAAAGTGAAGGATAAGAATCTTCAAATTGATTAACTCAAATCAGATGCAGAAAAGTTAAAACAACGCTAGAAAAAAATTACATCCCGTAATTACCCGTCAGCACAAATGAATATTTAGTTAAACGGTTTAGTTTCAAACCGACGTACAGATCTTCCAGTTCGGTGCTTTTAAGCACCTGGCCTTTCCACTGAGGATAGCCTAAAACAGACATGATCAGGAAGCGGTAAACAAATAGAATATTTATTAAATTAAAACCTGTATGATTCGAAAATTGTACTGAGTTGATCGTGTCGACTTCAAAACCGTTCACCTGAAACAATTACAGCGATGACAGGCCGTCTGCTGTAAAAATATGAAATCATTCGGCACAGGACTTCGCTTTAAACTAACTGTTGATCCTTCATAAAACAAAACGTCATGTTAACATTATTTTAAAAAAGTCGGGCTTTTGAACAAAGAATCCCAACTTTGCACACAAACACTTAAGGAAACATTTTTATGTTGGCGTTAGGTGCTCGTTTCGATCTAGCAAATGATGCAATTTTGCATTAATGCTCTAAGGCTGCCATTATACCACGGAGAAATTTGTTTGTTCAAATAGCTCCTAGGCATTTGATGGCATGAAGCTGCTGATATAACGTATAAATTCCGCTTATTAACGCATATTAGAACGTTCACTGTTT